CACGGTGTGGCCCTGGGGCTTTCCTCCCCGTCCGTAGTCGCGGTTAACCGCCCCGTGGGCAGGAGCTGCCCGGCTGCTCTCGTGTACCGCCGAGACCCCGCCGGTGCCACCTGTCCGACCCCACTGTCGGGTGCCTGCGGGAGAAGCCCTGACGGCGCTGGGGCTCGTCCCGCTTCGGTCAGACAGACTCTCCGCAGGGGGCGAGAGCCTTGGGGAGGCTGCTTTGGGGTAAGATGGGGGCCGTTTTGGAAACTCATGAGATGAACTTCCCCATCTCGATGCGGCGGGGCCGTCCCGGATAGCGATACCTAAGGCTGTCTCCGGCGTGATAGGCGGGGCAGCGTAGCGAGTTCACCGAGGGCTCCTGGCCAGCCCCCTCAGTGTCCCTTCGGTCGGCTGCGTCCCCGACCGCCGCTCCCGTACCTCCACGGGCACTGAAGTCTGCTGGGGCAGACAGCCCAGAGATGACGGCGGGAAGAAGACGAGGGCAGCAGGGCTGGTTCCCGGCACGACTGAATTTGTGCTTTGCACTTGTTTTTAATATTTCTCAACGTTGACGTATTACGAGCCCGCCCCGGGGACAGCAGAGGCGGCCGGTGCCGGGGGGATGGTCCCTGACGGGGCTGGGAGGATTTGCACCGCCAGCCAGCGGGTCGGAGCTGCGGGAGGTCCCACGCCACAATCGATGCGTGTGTCCTCGGGCCGCGACGGCCGCGCTGCCTGGGGAGTGCTCATGAACTCAACCTGCGGGATGATGCAGGACGGCGATGTGGACTGCATCCCTCCTCCGTGGGAGGGATGCTCCGAGTTTACCGGTGCCGGTTTTCGCCAGAAACTAATAGCCGTGGCTCGGTGACAGGAAAAACTCCTGGAAAACTCGAAACCCCTCTGAAAACGTGGAAATTTGGTAAAAGGCTTCAAAATGCCCCCGTAGGAAGGTGGGGAGCGCCTGGGTAGCCGCTTGCCAGAACGGAAGAGCCTGCTGGCGGCAAAGGTGCTTAAATATCACTCGCGCTTTCGTCCCTCTCTTCACGGGAGTCTTTTCCCTGCTCCGGACGCCGGCGGAAGAGCGGCTGGCGAGGGGCAGTCTCAGCCTGGGAGCCGTGGGAAGTAGCCCACGCCGCGGGAGAACTGAGCGTCCCCGTGCATACGTGGGATGAGTGAGAATGGGGCAAATCTGTGACTCAGCCAATGTGATCATCGGTGCTGCCTCTGGCCAGGCAAGGTCAGGTGGGCTCGAGCCAGAGGACAAAGGGAACATATCCAGGGCGTGTTGAGGCAGAGCAGGAGCACTTGGTGCCCTTGTGCTACCCTTGGCCGCCGCCCCTCCAGATTGGGTCGAGCTGAGCAATGTGCGTTGTCGGGGTGGGTCCTGTGTGAGCCTGGTCGGTGGCAGTGCTGCCTGTGGCTCAGCCGAGCCTTCTTACGCCACTGACCCCGACAGACCCTGGACCCTGCGCGCGAGTTGTCCCTTCTCAGTGTGTTTCTGCCCCTGCTAGGATGCGCCAACCTCAGGAGAGCTGGAGCAGTTCGCCAAGGACCTCAAGCACAAGCGCATTATGCTGGGCTTCACCCAGGCTGACGTGGGGCTGGCACTGGGCACACTCTACGGTGAGGGGTCGGAGGAGAGCCCTTGCGTTCCTCCGCAGCCGGTGGGAAGGGAGAGGCCCGGGAGGGGTTTGGAATCACCTGGGCTAAGTGATTTCTACTCCTTAACGACCCGCAAAGGAGGTATCAAGCACCAGTCCTGGCCCAGGGCTCCTAGAGGGGTATCTCTAGATCTGCGGTGAGCTGGAAAGTTCGAGCTCACAGGGAACCGGTTTAAAATGGTTACTTATTGAGATACGTTTCAGGGCTTTAAATCCCTGCTGAAGGAACAGGGTGAACGCCTTTCCTGGTCTCCCAGGAGCAAGGCAAGCTTGGGGGGGTGGTGACTCTGGGGAACTGTGGGCGGGGGAAGCTGTGTGGTGCGTAATGCCCTGCCTGCATTGCCCTTTCAGGGAAGATGTTCAGCCAGACGACCATCTGCCGCTTTGAAGCGCTCCAGCTCAGCTTCAAGAACATGTGCAAGCTAAAGCCGCTGCTGCAGCGTTGGCTCAACGAGGCGGAGAACACAGACAACATGCAAGAGGTGCAGGGCCAAGGGGGCTGGGAGCTGGGTACCTGCAAACCCTGAAGCCACAGATCCTCCTCCGTCTCCCACGTGCTTTCAGGGAGAAGAGGGGAACAGAAGGCATCTTGTGCCACAGCACCATCTTGCTGCATGGCTTGAACCTGGCTTGAAGGGCAATCCACTGGGTATCACCTTCTGCCAAGCTGAGGGAGGAAGCCAAATCCCCCTGCAGACACCTTGTGATTGTGGCAGCTCCCTTTCTGGAGCAGCGAGGTCCTGCTGTAATCTCAGATAGACTGAATGTGCAGCTTGCTGCTCCCTGGGGAACCTCGGGGGGCTGCAGGAGGATGTGTCCAGACTCACTGCTGGCAGTGCTGGGACACTGGGAGTGGCCCCAGTCACAGTGGAATAATGCTCAGTGGAGAGCCACAGGGACACAATCTGCCCCAAGCTCTGCAGCTAGCCGCACATGTCCCAAGCCTGGTGGAGACTCTTCTACCTGGTAACCAAACATATTCCCTCTCTCATTCCCAGATGTGCAATGCAGAGCAAGTACTGGCCCAAGCTCGGAAGAGAAAACGCAGGACTAGCATCGAGACCAATGTGAAAGGGACACTGGAGAGCTTCTTCCGCAAGTGTGTGAAGCCCAGTCCCCAGGAGATCTCCCAGATCGCCGAGGACCTCAACCTGGATAAAGATGTAGGTTGGAAGGGTGGGGGAGGATGGGTGCCCAAACGGTGGCAGCTCCTGAGTACCTGCCAGTTTGATACTTTAGCTCAGAGCAAAAATGAAATGCACATGGAAAGATGTAAACAACTGCCCTTTATCTCTGCCAGACAGTTAGGATATATATATGGCTCATCAATATAAAAGAAAAACCCACTTGGTTCCAGAGAAGACTTTTGTTCACAGATTAAAGATTTAAAACTTAAAGAGAGACAAAAATAGTTCTCAGACCCAACTACAGATATATATACACCCTATATATATACTACTTTGTGTATATATATATACATAAATATATTAATGTTATCCTATCAAAGTAATCCTTTGATACTAATTCATCTCAGAAGAAGCTGATTTTTGATCCCAAGAATCCTCCTGGAAAGTTACAATGTTTTTTTTCTGAAGTGGAAATGCACCAGAAGAGAGACAAACTATAATCCACTAACAATACACAAGTTTGCCTATTGGCTTCATCTGGCTATGCTGCCAGCCTTTGGAGGGGAACCTTTCTTTTGATTTGTTGTATTCTTTCCTATTTAACGTTTGCCATTTTTGTCATCTTGACTCTGGAAGCAGTGGGAAAGTGTTCATGGCTGAAGTTTGTTTGAGCTGAGCCTAGCAAGGAGTTGTGACAGGGAAGGGGCTGCACTGGCAGCTTGGGATGCTGTGGAGATGTCACCAGCAGAAGGGTCTCATTGTCACCCACATGGTGTGCTTGGGTCACCCCCATACCCTTCTCTGTCTCCCCACAGGTGGTCCGGGTCTGGTTCTGCAACCGGCGTCAGAAAGGCAAACGGCTGCTGCTGCCCTACGGCAACGAGGCAGAGGGGATGATGTATGACATGAACCAGCCCCTGGTGCCCTCCACTCTGCCCATCCCAGTGACATCCCAGGGCTACAGCCTGGCACCCTCCCCTCCTGTCTACATGCCAACCTTTCACAAAGCTGAGATGTTCCCACAAGCGCTGCAGCCTGGGCTCTCCATGAGTAACAGCGGCCACTGAACCAGGGGCTGTGGGCTCACACCAGCAAGGGGGGCTGGTGCTCTGGGGCGGCTCCCCTTGCCCTGGGCTCACACAGGCACAGCCCTGCTTCTGCTCTCTGGGCTGATGTGTGGGGCTTTTGGAGTGTGAGGCGCTGAGAGCCTGGCACAGGGATGGTGCCTGCTCTCTGCAGATGCTCCCAGCCCTTCTCAGTTATGTGAGCTTACTGGTCCCAGCAGAATTGGCCCCCCTCTGACCACTCCTGGGGCCAACTCCTCCTGCCCCACTGCGCCCTCTGAAGCCACATGTGCCCAGGGCTCTTGAGCCCGTGCCTGGCCCCAGCCCAGCTGCTCTCCTGTGAGATGCAGAAAAAAGTATTTTTTAGATTTTGGGGAGGGTGGGGGGAGGCGGTGGTTTTATTATTTTTTTAAAGGTTTTTGGTTGTAGTTTTTAAAAAGCAAAAAATTTTGTAGTGATCTAGTTTCCCAGGTGTCTCCTTCCACCCTGTCATGTAGAGTGGGACTGGGGTGCCATGCCCAGGGCCAATGGCCCTGGTGGCTCTGCTCACCTTCCTGGGTGGCCAGGATGAGCCAAGGGCTGGGGCAAGGGGGGAAGGTGCGCCCTCTCACCACCCCTCACCCTGTGGCACAACCCTCACCCCTCTGTGGGGCAGTTGATAAAGCTTGTTTGGGTTGGGGGGTTCATGTGTTGTGCCCAACATCACCCCCAGGCCCCCCTGCTCTCCAGCTACTGTCGCCCCCTCACCCACCCCCAGCCCAGATGCCCAGAGACCACCTTTCCCTGGAGGGCCCAGCCCAGTGGGCCTACACCACCCTGTCCATGCTGCTAGCACCCCATGCCTTCCAGCCTGCTGTAGTTAATGATGATTTTTACAGTTTTTGTTCTTAATCACATTCCCTCTGGCAATGAAATAAATCTCAGAGTTCTTTGAGGCAAGAATGAGTTAACCCTTTTCTTGCCTTCCTTGCATCCCTATTCCTGCAGCCCAGCAGTTGAGGTTCAGCTGCATGCAGGGGCACAGCAGGGCTGGAGTAAGGCACCCTAAGAAGGTGGACATGTCCCCATCATGCCAGCAACACTCATCTCTTGGCTGCCTGCAGCTTGGCCTCCCTCCACAACTGGTGGCAGCTTGGCCCTGGAGTAGTACCAATTTGTCAGGGCTGTTGCCCCCCAAAGCAGAGGGGGTCAAAAATAAAGAGAGAAGAGGTCATCTTCCACCCAGTTCGAGCTGCTGTTTTGCTGTAGCTGCCTCTGGGAAGGTTGGAAGCAGTGTGAGCTTGTAAGCTGCTCCAGAAGCTGCCAGGGACAGAGAACTAAGGAGGATGTAGCAGGGTGGATAAGCTTCCCAATGGAAAGCTGGGGCTGCCCTCAGTACTATGGCGCTGACGGGAGGGAAGGATGTTCCTGTATGTGTGGTCCAGCTAAGGCAGTCTCTGATGAGGGGATAACAACCCAGCCATGCAGGTCTATTGGGCACTGGGAGCGAGCTGGTGGGAGCAGGGATGTCTGGGGCCTTCACTTTTCCCCACCACACTCTCAGCTGGTTTGTCCCCAGTTCATTCTCTCAAAGGCCCTTACCCTGAGCAGAATGAAATCCCCATTTTTTGCTCTATAAGGAGTTTGCTCTCTAGGGCTGCCTGGAGGCACCAGGGCAGTGCTAGGCATTAGCACTAGGCAGTGTCCAGGGGCAGTGAAGGCAGCTGCTTACTGGGCACCTTGGGACCCTGCAAAGGGCTGGGCTGGGCTCATTCTAGCCCTATGGGGTGGGGGCCTTCTGCATCTTTGCTTGCTCCCCAGAGCCTCAAACTTGCCTGCCCACAGGGTAGGGGTACAGCTGTGTGTGACATCCACCGGGAACTGCCTCCTGTTGCTGCTGCCCAGTGCTGCCTGGCACGTGAGTGGTGCAGGAGGCTGGCCAGGGTCAGGAGCGGAAATGTGAAACAGATGTCGTCTCCCACAGGTTTGCTTCTCCACATTTCCACTATCTGGTTTTCTGCATGCAGCCACGCAAGAACTACAGCCCACCATGAGACTCCGACATCCTGCACCCCTGGCACCCCCTGCCCATGAGTACCCAGTATCTCTCTGTGGGCATCCACGGCCCCTCCCGTTCCACTTCTGGTTGACCCAGAAAACAACGAAGCGGAAATCTGAAGCCACAGAAGTCAGAAGAGCACAGTGTGCCTGTCCAACTGCCGCCTCACCAGGGCTGTGCCGGGGAGGGATGTCTCCTCTGCCAGCTCTCAGTCCTGCTGGGCACCTGGCAGCCTGCAGGGTGGCAGAGGTAGGGTTTGGTGACTTTAGGCCCACAGGGAAGAAAACTGGAAAAACTTGTGACAAAAAGAGTTGTTTATATCAAGGGAGTTGATGGCACTGAGTAGAGGGGCAAAGAGCAAGGCACAGATGGAGCAGTCATTTCTTACCCCTGGTCACGTCACTCAACCCCGATTTTCACCCCAATTTCATGATCCTAGATGGGTACTTCCTCTTGGGATGTCCATGGTGCAGGGCGCCCATGCTGCAGGGTTTCCCCAGTGCAATGTGTACATGTGCAAGTTCCCCACGGGACTGGCTTTACTCGAGGATGGTGCAAGCCTTCAGAGGCTGTCAGCTCACTGGCTTCCTGTCACAGCAGGGAGGGAGTGACAAACCACAGTATCCCTCTGCCTGCCTGGCAGCACAGGCTGCTCTGAGAGCATCTGCTGTCCTGTGCCTCCTCACTGGCACAGCGACACCCATGGCTCAGGGTTTGGGGACAGGAAATGGGTACTGCAAGGAAGAAGGGGAGCAGATGCTGTCCTTCCTCCCTAGCCATGGAGTAATGGACCCCCCTGGGCTGACCCCTGCCACTCCAGCCCAGCCACAAAATGTCACCACAGGGCCTCTGCTGCCAGGACTTTGGCACCCAGCAGAAGGTGCTGAGGGGACATTGAGGATCACAGGGGAGGTCAGGGAGCCCTGAGCCATCACCACCACCCTGCTGTCCTGCCCACACCACATGCACAGCCTCAGCAGCACTGTGCCACTTATTTCCAAAGTACCCTCTGGTCCTGCCAGCACCCTGGCAAGGTGTTCAGTGTTGGGTCGGGGTGATAAGTCCTGTTTCACAAAAAATGAAGTCATGGGGAGTTGCTTGAAGTTGCAGTGTGGCAACAGCTGGGCCGGGAGGAGAGTGGGGTGCTCCTGTTTTTGCTCCACATCATGTGTGCACCCCTGCCTGCATTCATCCCAAGGGTCCCGGTATGCACTAGGAGTTGAACCAGCTCTGCAGGTCAGGATAGAGGTGGCCATGGGGAAGGCGGGGGTAGGCTGTACAGATGGCACAGATCCGCTCCCTCCAGTCAGTGTAGAGCTTCACACTGAACCTCCTCTGCCAGGCAAAGAACTGCCGGTAGCGGCTGGAGTTCACTGTCTTCAGGAAGGTGGCCAGCTCCTTTAGGGAGCCAAAGTCATTGACATGGATGAAGGAGTCTGCAGGAATAAACTGCTCATAGTTGGCCCTGGGTGGCCCCAGCACCACAGGCACAGTGCCAGCCAGCAGTGAGTTCCTCCAGAGTTTCTCTGTGATGTAGTCTCGGTGGATGGAGTTCTCAAAGGCCAGGTAGAATTTGGACTTGGATATTGTTGGCAAGAGGCAGTCCTTGCAGAGGGGCTTGTTGTTTGCTTTCCCGTATATATTCACATGGAGGTACCTGGAGAGGTTTTTGTAGACTTCAGCTCTTTTCTGAGTCCTGTGGTAGTTGCTGATAACCCAGGACACCAAGTTGGTCTTTGCGGGGATGTTCACGGTGGCTGACTGGTTGGGTACAAGCTTGCCATAGGGGATGAAGATGTCCGAATCCTGTCTATAGGTCATCACCCAGTTGAAGGTCTGGTTCCATGCTGCTAGAGCTCTAGTGTTGGAGGGGGACTCCAGGGAGACCCACACCCAGTTCTGCCCCGGCAGCCTCTCCTTGGGCAGTTTGTCCTGGCCAGGCTGGAGCCTGGAGTGGGGGAACACCACCACATTGGCCTGGTGCAGGAGCTGCCGCTCTGTAGTGAGCTGGCAGCCTGTGATGCTGTACAGCTCATGGCACACATCTCTGCTGACACTGGGGACCTGCTTGGAGGGCCATTCCCACACCAGAATCACCAATGGCTCCCTCTGTTTAGGCTCTTCTCCACAGCCTTTGGAGGGGTTGAGGAAGAACCTCAGGTTCCAGAGGGTGGTTACAAACACCCCGGCAGTGATCAAGGCCTTCACACCAGGCCGGCCCCATGGTGACCATCGCAGTGGCAATGCCCAGGGCATGCTGGTGGGTTGGCTGTCACCTCACTGGGTGACAGAGCTGACACCTGTGAGAGAGGAGAGGCCACTGCGGGCCATCAGCTTGACTTGCCAGGGACGAGGGGTGATAGGGAGGTACTGTGGCCAGAGGGGCCAGAGAAAGGGCTTCTTCATGAAGCCTGGGCCTCAGCATCACCCCAGGACCCTCTGCTTCCCTGTGCCACAGAGTTCCCCATGCACACGGTGTCACCCCAGGGTGGCCTTTGTTCATGCTCCTGCAGTCCCTGGTGACCTTTGGGGGAGCACAGATGCTGCTGAGGGTGCCGAGCTGATGGGAAGTAGCCAACTGTGCCCCTCTGACCCATCTGGCTGGCCCCGCTATAGGCAGTCCTTGCTTGCTCTGTGCCTTAGGTTACTCACCGGACACACAGCCACAGTCTCAGTCCCCAGTTCTTGCTTTGCCCAGAACAGGTCAAACCTGATATGCAGTTAGCCTTGCCACTGCTGTGCACCAAACAAGAAGGAACATCCTAGTCCCACCTGAATAGCCCCATGGTGAGGCCTTAGCTGCAAAATGGGGTGACTGACTCTGAAGTCCAAAATGCTGATGAGGGCTGAGTTTGGCAGAGTCCTGCCCAAGAAGTGTCCACTCACTCTAGTATTCTCCTGTGACAATGGCAAGGCAATTCCCAGTTTCGAGGTGCCCTTCCCAGGTCAGGGTGGACTTCCCAGTCCCTAAGGGCATCAGGAGCTCCAGCAGGCTGGGAGCTCATAGCCTCAGTGCCCCAAACACTCATATTTTATACTTAGGATGTCACAGATGGCTAATGCCCCACTGTGTGGGCACAGAGGAGAGGGAGGGCAGGGAGAACAGGGAGGACAGTGCAGCACTTGAGGCTGCCACTGGTGGGGCTCAGCTTGCAGGCACATGGGCCCCCAGCTGTGGGATGCTCACCCTGCCAGGGTGCCCATCTGCCTGCCTCAGATCTCAGTGGTTTAACCAGCAGAACTGCTGGGAGCAGAGCAGTGGTGGAGGTGGAGAGGGGGATGGTTGGCTGCACTGTGGACCAGCCACCAGCTTAAGCCCCCTCTGGATAGCTGGTCCCACTGCAGGGCTCAGAGCATTCAGCACCAAAGGTGTTTCCCCTTTAGTGGAAACCTCTGGAAACATGTGGGTTGCCTGAGTCCTGCTGCCAGCTGGGGCTGAGCCAGTGCCTCCAGTACTGGAGTCTCCTGGAAAGCAGTGCCCTAGTTTCCCACCCACCCCAGCACTGCAGCTTGTCTGCAAAAAATCCCTTCCCCACCTTGGCCCACTCCATCTGTCCTGCTACAATACATGAGCTAAGTTTAAGCTCCAGACAAATCTGGCATGGGAAGCAGAAAGGGCTGGGAAAGCTTTACTGGTTCCCTGCACTGCACATCAGTGCTCCAGGTCTCTGTCCCCAGCAGCAGAAATGTTGATATGGTTTTGGAGGTGTTTGTCCCATTTCAAGGAAACTCTGAAAGGGAAACCCCTAGCAAGGGCCACCCCATTTCTCAGCCCCTCTCCCCTCAGTGGTCAGTAATGTTGAACTCAGACTTACTGTGTTGGAGGTGTACGAGGTGCCAGATGTGTCTGCCTGGGTGCTGCTGTGCTGGGCTGGGGCACTCGAGGGCTTCCTCTTTTTTTCAGTTTTGCCTTGCCCCAGCCCCACAGCAGGTCCTTCCTGCTCCAGTGTCAGCTGGCACACTCCACCCTAGAACTTCCCCTGCACTGCGCTGTGGGGTGGGTACCCTGTGACTGGGTGGGTGCCCCATGGTTGGGTGGGTACCTTCTGGCCAAATGGGCACCCCACGGTAGGTGCATGGCCCAGAACAAGGTGGGTGCCCCATGGCTGGGTAGGTGCCCTCAGCCATGACAAGGTGCCACCCATCTGCCACCCACAGCTTGGTTGCAAACAGGATACCAACTCCCATTGACTCATCCTGAAACTATCAGCTGACAGCCCCAAGTGCCACTAAGCCCTGGGTACTGTCCTGCCTGGGATGTTTCCTGCCAAAAGGAGAAGCAGGCACATGTAAGCCTTGGCAATGTGTGCACAGAGAGCTGCTTCTTCTTCCCCTGCCCAAGTTATGCCCTGCTCCCAGTCTGGCTCAGTTGTGTCCTTTGCTGGCATTGCTGTTCAGTACCCAAGACTCCATGAAAGCCCTGGCAAGCAAAATGAGACAGAGAAACTGAGGTAGAGGCAGGGAGGGGAGCATCGAGGTGTGCAGCACTGTCCTTGAAGCTGGCAAGGGTATGCCCTATGCCTTGGCGTATACAGAGCTCAGAACAGGGCTCCAAACTGCTCTCTGGGGGTTCTCAGGCTGCTCCAGTGCCCCTGGGATCTGCATCCTCAGTCCTGTTAGCTGCCAGCCAGCAGGGATTCCTGTTGGGCATAATGCACCATGCCGTGGTGTAGCAGGGCTCTGTAGTTTCAGTGACACCCCAGGAGCCCTCAAAGGCCAACTGCAGCCCCAAGGATGGGTGCTCCTTCTTCCACAGCCATGTCCATTTCCTGTCATCTTTTCCCACTCCCTTTTCTGCATTTCTTGCCCTGCATGATTGAGTGCCCAGATACCACAGTCCACAGGCACCATCTCCAGAATTGCCCGCCCTAGCCCTGCTGGCTGTGGGCAGAAGTCTGTGCCTGGCTGGAGTGTTCAGCATCATCCTGCTGCTGTTTCATAGCTTGAGAGCCCAGGGCCACACGGGCTGCGGCCATTCCCCTCCATGCAGGACAGCACTGCGGACAGAATTTCCACAGGGTATTCAGGATGGCTGGTAGAGAAGCAGGGAGCTTTTCCCTGGCACTTAATAGTTGCCATGTGCGGCTGCTGCCCCAGGACACCCTGTGTGCAGGGACAATGCCCTGGGAGAATTTGCAGCCAGTGGATCCAAACACCCTGACCCTGTGACCCAAGGGACATGGCTCTGAGCCAGGCAGGGAGCCAGTGCTGCCTAGGTGGGTTGGGCAGAGATCAAGGCCAGGGGCCAGGTCATGACACCATCAGGAATGCTGGACAGCACCAGCACAGAGCAGGGAGATGTATGTGGGTGGGTACTGCCATCTGCAGATGACTTCACACAGAGACAGGAGCTCGGTCACCCTGCAAGGAAGTTCCCTGAGAGGTGCTCAGGGCTCCATGTTCCCAAGTCTTCAGGACCCCGACCCATGGAGGAGATGGGCTACAAGGTCTTTGGAGCTTCTAGCCCATAGAGAGGTTGGGCCACTCGGTCCTTGGGCTTTAGGCCCCTGTGGGTCCTTGGAGGAGGTTTGCCTCCCTGGGGTTGTGCTGCCCCATGGCACACTGCTTGGTCTGTTCCTTGCTGGCTTCTAGGGTTTTCCGTGGCCATGCCAGACAGAAGAGCAGCTGTGAAGCTCCCCAAGACCCACCCAGGGGCAGCAGGAGGGAAGGAGCAGGAGAACCAGGTCAAACACAGGGCTTTGACCCACCTATGGGTCCCCACATTGTGCCCCTCCAAGCTGGGTATCCACTCTGCTGCAGGACAGAGGCTTGGATGTGCTCCCTATGTGGACTGTGGGCAAACAATGCACAATTCTTTGCAAGGAGCCTAGGGTGACTGCATTCTTCCTTCCCCAGGTTCTTAGTAAAAGCCCAGCTCCCCTCAATTCTGGGCAGCTCTGCATGTGCACCCAGCAACCCACCCAAACCAGTCACCCTCCCCAGTGCATGGAGCTGGGCACACAGTGCCTCTCCACCACCACATCACCAGGCATCCTTTGTCCTCCTAGATCTCAGCACAGTGTTTTGCCCAGAAGTTTGAGGAATAATGCTGCTTTGTGTTGGACAAAGGGAGCTTTTGTTAGCCCAGGACAGCTGCCAAAGAGCCTGCCATGAGCACAGGCACCCTTGCCAGCACCACTGCAGCAGGGGCAACTCCTGGCTACACTTGGCCCATGAAGCAGCGTGGAGACCAAGATGGTTACAGAGAGCTGGAGGAAAGGAGACGGAAGGGGGAGAGAAGGCCAAGGGAGAGCAGGAAGAGGGAGGGACAGGTGGAAAATGGGGAGAACAAAAGGACAGGAAAAGGGAGGGAAGGAAGGATGGGGGAATGGATGGAAGCAAGGATAGATGGAAAGAAGAAAAGATGGCAGGAAGGAGGAAAAGAGGAAAAGGATGGACGATAGGATGGACGATTGGATGGACGATTGGATGGACGGATGGACGGATGGAATTAAGGAGGAGAGCTGGCCTGGTTCAGTCCTTGCTGCAGAGGGCATCCAGTCCTGGGTTCAGAGCTGCCAGGAGTCAGATGTGGCAGCAGGTTAGTCCAAAACATGTGTGGACGCCTGAGCACATGCCCGTGGGAGAAGTCAGGCAGGAGTAGAGTGGGAAGCGTACAAGAGCAGGGACAGCCGTGGCACCCTGGTACACAGATCCCACAGCCACGGGCTAGTCCGTCGTGTCCTGGGGTGGGGCACCAGGGGCAGAAGAGCGGAGGTGACCTGTGTATGGTTGAGGGGTGGGAGGGCGGCGGCTCGAGGGGAGCAAGGGTTCCTCGGCCCCTGGGGCAGTAGCCCCGCTCCGAACAGCCGGCACCGGGGCCGCTGCTGTCGGGATGAGCCGGGGCCGCGGTGCAGGTGAAGCGGGCGGCTCCGGCGGCGCCTTTAAGGGGCGGCCTCCGCCGGCTAGGGGTGGTGCTGGTGCTGCGCAGGGTCGGGGCGGGTGCGGCGGAGCCAGGCCTGGGCCGAGGT